CACACACACACACACACACATTAGATCTGGACCCTGCCAAAGCTGAGCCTTCAGGCAGTGGAACAGATAGAGCCCGCGCAGCGCAGTCCCTCGCCACCTGGCTTGCTCTGGTTCCCCCTCTGCCCTGAGCGCTTGCCGCGGGTCCGGATATGCTTCCAGAAGCTGTGGCTGCTACCGCACACCCTGCTTCGGCCCCTGCTCCACACGCAGGGTCCCCCTGGTAGGGTCCGCACAACCCTGAGGGGGTTGCTTTCCGACATAAAGGAGCACAGGAAGCTTCAAAACTGGGCAGGGAGGGACCTTGTGCAATTTACTGACACCACCCTACTTTCTGTTTGCGTTTCTTTCGAGGTTTGAGACAGGGTCTCACTATGCAGTTCAGGACCTTTGTAGCCCAGGCTGGTGTTGAACTTGCAATGATCCTCCTGCCTCAGCCTCCCCAGTGCTGGGATTACAGGTGTGCGCCACCATGCCTGGCTATACATCATTTTTTATGGACTTTTTCCCCCTGCTTCTGGAGACTGAACTCAGGGATGCTCTGCCCCTGAACTATATCCTCAGCCTTTTTCTTTTTTATTTTAAGCTGGGCCTCCCTAAGTTGTCCAGGCTACCCTCAAAACTTGCAACCCTCCTGCTTCAGCTTCCTAAGGAGCTAGAATTAGGAGTATGGCCACTACACTTGGGTTTTTTTTTATTGGCTACTAACCCTGTACCTGCCCTCTTTGCTGTTGATTGGCCCACTGCTAACGTCTGGTGAATGCAGACTTCTGCCTGCACTTTCTCTGGCTTGGAGCAGAAGGGACCCTTTATCAAACCCATGTTTGGGGCTCTGCACCTTCCCACAGGCTGAGGAGTTTAGGGGGCCTTGGAGATGTACCCCACTTTTGCACTCCATACTATGGATACCAGACCCTGGCTCCCTACCCAGTCAGGTCAGAACCCTCCTCCAGGGCCCGGGCTGGTCTCCCCCGGGGCGGGCACGGCGAGGCGGAGAGGACTCCTGGGCCACAAGCAGGAGCTGTTTGTGGTGGCGCTGGGCTGTGTAGCTCGGGGGTCCACATGCGCGGGAGGCCAGTGGGAGCAGGCGGAGAGGAGGACAGGCTGGGACTGGGGCTGTGTCTCCGCTGTTTGTTGCCGGGAAGAAATATCTGACATACAGAACTTGAAGGAGGAAGGGTCTGCTGTGTGTTAGGTCTGTGTCCCGTGGCCCCCCAGAGCCTCATGCGGTCGTGGGTGGGCCTTCTTCAGAGGAGGCTGGGTCTGAGTGTGTGACCCTGGGTTGACTGAGGTGCAGTGCTAGGATCACGGGCACGGGGGTTAACGGTGTTAGTGCCAACCGCCCTAAGTAGCCTGGGTAAGGTGGAAGGGGCAGAAGGACGCTGTTGACGTCCCTTGATGCTCTGCTATCTTCTGCCCGCCGTGAAATGTTCTCTGCCGCGCCGCCCCGCCCTGGAGCTGGCTGTGCACTGCGGCCCCACGGGCTGTGAGCTACACGAACCGTCTCCCCTTTAACTGTGGGTGCTGGGTGTTTGGTCTCAGCAACGAGGAAAGTGACCGAGACATCTCAGCTCACCGTTCCAGCCCACGCTTGGCGGACTCCAGGGCAGAAGCACCAGGCAGAAGGAGCGCTGCTCACGGAGGGGCAGCCCCGAAACAGACAGCCAGACAGCGGGAAGGAGGGTGGCCCGGAGGACAGGAATCACCTTCTGCTGACAGCACCCACTCGCCGAGAACCGTCCCTGCGTCCCGCGGTGCATGCGGTTACCGCCCCAGGGTGTGGTCGCTTCCAAAGGCCCCACCTCTGAACACCGAAGCCTCTGGGGACGTTTTCTGGTCCCAGCCATAAGGGGATGGCTCGCCTCATGCTGCCATGCCCTGGTGCAGAGCTCGGAGGCGGCTGAGAATTCCAGATTGAAGTCTGACCTTCCGGGCGCATTCGTGCAGCCAGGAGGAGAAAGATAAAACAATAAAGGCGCACTCGGGCCCTGAACCGCCCCGCAGCCCCGGGGGAGCAGACCCCGCACACCGGTGCTCAGTAAGTTCTGTCCGAGGACGCAGCCTGCCCGAGTCAGGCCTTCAGCCACAAATCGCAGCTGTTCAGGGTACCAGCTGCGTGGCCGTAGGACGTGGACTCAACCTCACGGAGTCTGTCCCTCCTGTCTGTGAAATGGGACGATGCCAGTGAGATAAGCCCAGCTACGCACAGAAAGTGCTGAACACAGGGCCCGACCTCCAACCAGCACTTCATAAACGGCAGTGTTCTGGGGGGGCAGCCCGTGCCAGTGCGACCGAGGACCCCGCCCAGCAACCACTCCGGCCTTTCTGGTGCCTGGGACCCCGGCAGCGTGCCCGCGAGCGGTGTGCCAGGTGCGGAGCTGCTCCCCTCCGCCTTGCCTGGCGCCTTGTGGAAGGTCTACGCGGGTGTGACTTCCGGAGCCTCAGGGACTGACAGATGGATGCCCCCGAGGTGCCCGTGTCTGTCCGTTCAGGGACCGGCGCGCGGCAGGCTGGCTGGCTCAGCAGGAGGCGCGGAGGGCCCCGGCTAGAACACTTCCCCGGTCCCCGCCCCGGAGAGCTGTGCGGTGACCGTGCGTCTGTCTTCCTCCAGAGGGAGACAGCTGTCCCGCGTGCCTGCTGCTCGTGCCGATGGCCGTGTCCTTTTCGGTGTTGCTGGCGATCGTCCTCCTGCTGGTGTGCTTGATGCCGAAATGCAGAGCAAGTATGTTCCTCGCCACTGTCTCCCCGCGGGCTTGGGGTACCACAGAGGGCGGAGCGGGGAGGGGAAGGGAAGGCAGAAACGTAATGGAGAGAAAATGACAAGAGTAGCGTGAGACAGACTTTCTGGGTGGCCGGTGCACGGAACAGCCCTCAGGTCCCCCGCAGTAGCCTTCCTCGATGTGGGCTACAGCTGGGGCCACGTCAGGGTGGGCCGCCCGTGTGCTGCCCAGCCCTTGCCCAGGAAAGCGCTGAGACTTGCTTAATGCCCGCCGGCCACCAACTTGAAATTCTTAGTACTTTTTGTATTCTTTTTAAAAGTAGTTTTAAGCCGGGCGTGGTGGCGCATGCCTGTAATCCCAGCACTCGGGAGGCTGAGGCAGGAGGATCACTGTGAGTTCGAGACCAGCCTGGGCTATACAAAGTGAGCTCAAGGCCAGCCTGAACTGCATAGTGAGACTCAGCCTCAAAAAGACCAATAAATAAATAAATAAATAAAATTAGTTTTAAGCCACGGTGAAGTAAATAGAACATGACATTTGTCCTGTTTGTTTTAGTTTTTTTGAGACAGGGTCTCATTTGTATTTCAGGCTGGCCCTGAACTCACTATGTACCTCAGGCTGGCCTGGAACTCTCAGCAAGCCTCCTGCCTCAGCCTCCCAAGTGCTGGGATTACAGATGTGCACCGCCACATCTGGCGTCATTAATATTCTTGATTACTGCTGAAACAGAACCCAGCCGGATCACTAACTGTCTCCTGGAGACGTTATAAAGCTTCTTACACACTCTTCTGTTTCAGGAGGAAAGAAACGCTGACCGTTTCCCACGTAATCTCATGGGAAAACAGGCTTCTCACAGCCGCAGGAGTGTTGGTGCCCTGCTTGGGGAGCAGGGTTAGACACACGGATGGTCTGCCTCCGTTAGGCAATAGTTTGTCAGTGGAGGGCACCCGTCACGGTTTCGGAGCTTTCGGGGTTCTGCTGCTTGGGAGAAGAGAGAGAGAAAATGACCTGGCTCGGTGTGACGATCTTATACTGATTTATGTAGGAAAAGCTATGCGAGAGAACTTGCACGTGGACCCTGGAGACACCCCCACGGAAGGCGAGCTGTACGAAAATGTCTGTAAAGACCAAGCAGGTAGGAGAACACTGTTGGATCTCTGGGTAGGTTTAGTCGGTTAGTTTGGGGTTCTTGTCTTTTTTTTTTTTTGTACTGGGAATCGAACTCAGGACCTTGCACTTGCCAGGCAGGTGCTTGTCTTTTTAAGGTTCATCCAGAACCAAAGAAATAGAGTAGAATGTCTCCCTCACATCCAGAAGTCCTGTCTCACTTTCCGGGCCCAGGATGGGTGTTTAAATCCTCCTGCAGAAGTTCTTTCCGTCTGGTGCCACTAAATGACATTCAGATGTCTCTGAAAGGCCATTCCACACCTTAATTGTTTCACTTGATTTTTTTTCACACATCTTAGAGTTTTTATATATCAGCTCAGAATGTTACACACTGTTGCAAAGTCTTTCATAACATCTTTTTGAAAGATATTTTAAAATGTATTTTAAGCTGGGCATGGTGGCACATGCCAGTAATCCCAGTACTCAGGAGGCTGAGGCAGGAGGATTGTTGAGAGTTCGAGACCAGCCTGGACTACAAAGTGAGCTCAAGGCCAGCCTGAACTGCATAGTGAGACCTTGTCTCAAAAAGACAAAAAAAAAATGTATTTTAATTGACAAAGAAAAACAGTAAGTCAGATGTGATGGTGTATGCCTATAATCCCAGCTACTGGGGTACTGAAGCAGGAGGATCTCAAGTTTTAGGACACCCTTGGGTAATTTAGCAAGACTGTTTAAAAATAAAATTACAGCTGGGCGTGGTGGTGCACACCTGTAATCCCAGTACTCATGAGGCTGAGGCAGGAAGATTGCCTCAGATTTGAGGCCAGCATGGGTTACAAAGTAAGTTCGAGGCCAGCCTGAACTACATAGTAAAACCCTGTCTCAAAATAAATAAATCAATAACAAAGGCAAGAAATGTAGCTCAGTGGTAGAGCGCTTGCTTATCATGCACAAGGACACTGGATTCAATTACCAGTACCAAAAAAACTCATGTATGATATGTCATTTTGAAATACATAAACGTTAGTTTTTTGCTTTTATTTTTGCAGTGCTGGGGATCAAACCCCGAACCTCATACGTGGTAGGAAGTGCTAGTGAGAGCATTTAACACCTGCTCCTTTAGTGATTTTCAAGAACCTGGTACCTCTGATTTGGTCTGCTTGGTTTGCAGTACTAGGGGTTGAGCTGAGGCCCTTTGTACGCTGAGCTGCAACTTTGGTCCTTTCTTAACTTTTTGGATTTTTTGTTTGTTTTTTTGTTTTGGTTGTTTGGTAGACAGGTTCTCACTAAATTGCCAAGGTAAGACTTGAACTCGAGATCTCCTTCTTTTTGTTTGTCTTTTTGAGACAAGGTCTCGCTGTGCAGTTCAGGATGGCTTAAACTCACTTTGAAGCCCAGGCTGCCCCCAAACTCGCAGCGATCCTCCTGCCTCAGCCTCCCGAGTGCTGGCATCACACGCCCCACTCAGCCTTTCAAAGTGCTGGGGTCACGGGCGTGTGCCTCTGTGCCAGGCTCAATGCCTTGTCATTAACTGTCATTTCCCTGTCCCACAACCCACGCTCGCCTCTCCAGTGGGCCTCGCAGGCTGCTTTGTGTTGCAGCGGACGCAGGGCCTGGCTGACCGTGAGCACCGTCCTGACCAGCGCTGACCGCTCCAGCCACGTTCTGAGCGCTGCCCTAACACAACACCCCCGCCTCCGAGTCACGTCCTTCCCGTTTTGCAAAAGGGGACTCGGTGCTGTGTTGGGGTCTTGACAACCCCAAATAGCCAAGGGTCTCTGCGAAGCCCGCAGCCGCCTGCAGCCTTGATGCCACTGCCCCGTGTGGTTGCGGACTCTCAGAACCAGCCCGGTAAGTTCGCCTGTCTTCTGCCCCCCACAGGCTGCCCCCAGGAGATACATTATGCTGCCCCTGTGTTCCAAGAGATGGCCCCCAAGGAGCAAGGTGAGCCACAGCTCCGGATGACAGGTGTCACTGATATGGGACAGAGGGTCCCCACGATACCGCCATGACCTTGGGCTTTGGGCCCAAGGATGGGAGCACAGAAGCACCCCAGAAAGCAGCAGTAACCAATAGCTCAGGCCCAAGGAAACCCCCAGGGAAGAGAGATGGGAAAGGGGGGGTGCGCGGTCTCCACTGGGAGGGTCAGTCGCTACCGTACTAACTCATTTTCACACATAAATGACTTACCTCTGTCCAGGAAAAAGCCAGTTGGTACTTGGTTTTGTCAGGCTACTCAGCTCCTAGAAACAGAATTTCTCTTTTAGAGACTTTCTGGATACTTATTCTAAATTCACTAGATGTTTTTCCTCCTCTTTGTATTTCAGAAGCCTGTCGTGATGGTAAAACGGGTCATATCTATTCTGAACTCACCTTGTGAAATGGAAAGAAACCACTTCCGTGCAAGACACTTTCCTGGAGGTGATTTACAGGAACACAAAGAAAATTCATCTGGCATTTTAAAAAGTCTAGTTCAAACCAGGCATGAGGGGGTGGGGTAGACCTGTAATCCCAGCACTCAGGAGGCTGAGGCAGGAAGATTGGGTTAGAGGCCAGCCTGGACTACGTAGCAAGTTTGAAGGTAGCACGGACTGCGTAGAAAGACTCAAGCAAACAAATAAAGAACAACAAATTAAAAATATCTAAAGTGGTCACCTGAAGCGAATCTCTGTTTTTCACCTTGAAATATTATTCCTTTGGCTCTTTTGGGTGGATCTGATCTTGTCATCACACACCTCTTGGTTAGGTGGGACCCCTTAGTGCTAGGGTTACAGGCATCTGCCCCCACGTCTGGCTTCCCTCTGTCCGTGGGATGTTTGTTACTGAGATTTAGGGTCCTGGGTGGTGTAGTGGTGAGCACACATAGTCTCAGGACTTGGGAGGCTGAGCCCAGTCTAGGCAACATAGTGAGACCCTGGAGAGAGAGGGAGGGAGGGGGGAGGGAGAGGGAGATAGAGAGAGAGAGAGAGAGAAATAAAGAGAGAGAGAGAGAGAGAGAGAGGCCAACCAGATAATCCAGGATGATCCCAAGACCTAAGATCCTTAATTTAATTATGTCTGCAAAGACCCTTTTCCCAAATAAAGTCATGTTCACAATTTCCAGGAATTGGATGCTGTGTTGTTTTGGGGTGTCATCATTCACCTTTTATGGGAGACAAAATGATTTCTAGTTGAAATCTCTCAACCTAGGAATTATAAGTCCAATAATAGTCAAGAGACATTTCTAGGGTTCCAGACAAACAAACAAAAAACACCACAACCAAAATATTTCTACTGTGTTCTTCATTCGGGGTGGCTTGAACCTCCGCCCTAATCATTCCTGACAATAAACCTCCAGCCGGACAAGTCACAGCCACGGTCACCGAGCCTCTGCCTCCATGGTGACAGCCTGCAAGGTCAATGTTATTAACTTGCTTTTGCAAGTAAGGAGACATAGCTGAGTTAGGCCACTTTACGAGGTACCACAGCCAGTGAAGCGGCTGGACTGGGAGTTAGGTCCCAGCAAATAAAAGCAAAAGCGCTAGTCCCGGGCTCGGCCCTTCAGGATGGGGAGAGACACACAGGTCTGGACCCGTGTGAGGATCTCGCTACCATAAAGCAGAGTTCGTGGGCATCCTTCCTCCCTCTCTCTGTGGGTATTTTTATTTGGGGAAATTAATATATTACGGAGAATAACAGGGGAGAGTTTCCTGAGTCAAAGCAACCTGAGCTAAATGGAGGCTCAGGCGTGTGCGAACCGCGTGACCCGGGACTGGGCAAGTGTCCTAACCCCCCTGGCCTTCGTGTCCCCCGTAGCAAGGCGGTGGGGTGGTGACACCCACATCGCAGATCTGTTGTAAGAATGAACTGAGGGAGTGAACGTAAAGGGCCTGGAAGAGGATCGGGTGTTTAAGACTCAAGCGAGGCCCTCCGTTCCAGGGGTGCCGGTGCTTCCTCAGACACACGCTGCTCGGCCACCACCCCAGAGACTTTTAAGGTTTTGATGTCACAAACTTGGCGACTTGACCGCCATAGGCTTCGTCCTTGGCCTTAACCTGGTTCCCTCCTCCAGCACGGCCCAAGAGCAGGACAGGGAGCAGGGAGTTTCATTAAGGGGAGGCCATCCCAGGGGGCAGGAGAGGGGGACCGGAGAAGGCCGCCACGGGCGCGGTGGACTTCGTGGCCGTGGGGGTCTGACGCGGATGCCGTTAAGATCTTCTGAGCTCTCCAAGTCCGGGATGCCTCTCAGGAACATTCGTTGGAGGATGGAGGGGGACACGTTTAGGAACGATATCCTCCTGCTTGAGGGTTAGCTAGGAAAGTACACACGCCAAAGCCCGCGGCTCCCAGCCACCGCATTGGAGAGGGGCAGATGACAAAGGATCCGTGTCCCGTCCGAGCGCGGTGCTGATGCAGAGCGAGCCCGGCCCGGTGGAGCTGCTCCCCGCAGCCGTGGGGGCGCAGAGCGAGGCCCAGAGCCTCCAGGAGGAGCACAGGAGGCCCGCGGACCTCCACCCCGCCTGGCGCCCAGCAGCCCCCTGCCCTCTGGGACACTGAATCTGCCACCGAGTGTCCCAGGAGGGGCCAGTCATCATCTCCCCCAAAACACTCACCCGGAGGGCTCATGGAAGAAGGCCTGAGTCTTGCGTGAGCGTCCCACCCTCCTGCCGCGGCATCCATTTCTAGATTCTCTTTGCCCCCTCACCGCTGCTGGTCCCCGGCTGGGTGACCCAAATCTCCACCCCGAGAGGCCTGAGTCCCTCGCTCCCTGCCCTTGCCAGGCCGTGGTGGCTGCATTTGTCGTTTCCTGTTGTCGGTGGACCTGGGAAGATCAGAAGATGTCCCCACCCCGGTGAATCCCTGGACATATCCCCCTCCCCGCCTGCTATGGCGGCGCGTGGGTCCCCATGCACCAGGGTGGCCTGGCGGACAGCCACCCAACAGGCTGTGAAGCGCCTGCTCCCCACGGGTGCGCTCATGTGAGCAACGACCAAGGACGGGAGGGTCCCTGTGCTTCCCGCACTCCCCCGGGCTCACCCGCACCGTCTGCCCCTCCTCTGCTCCTGCTCCTCCCAGCCGTCTTCAAATCCACCATCTCAGCCGCTGGCAGTGCCCAGGGGTGTGAGCGTGCTGTCCACGCGCTGCCTTAGCTCTGCCTGCGGGAAAGATTCCTCCTTCCTTCCTCCGGCTGGCTGGCCGGGCCGGGACCAGCAATGGTCTCTTTCTGAATCTCACCAAAATATCAAGCCAACCGAACCAAACCAGGCCTGGGATTCCTTCAGGGAGCCACAGGAGTGAGGCCTTAGACAAACAGGCGGGTGACAGAGGAGACTGCCACCTGCCCACACGCCTCACTTTCTGCCCAGCGGATCTGCTGGGCCCGGTGCTGACGTCCCACTTCCTTTACACAATGGATCGTTGGGTTTTCCCCAGTCTTTTACTTAGTAGAGCAAACAATCCTCCACTTCCGGTGGTCACATAGTCACTTGATGTCCTGGGCTCCAGAACACGGTCTCGTGGAGGGCCCAGTGGCATGCTGGGACCTGCGCTTCAAATGCAAGTTTTTCTGTTTTGTTTCTTTTTGTCTTCTTGAGACAGGGTCTCACCATGCAGCTCAGGGTGGCCTTGAGCTCACTTTGCAGCCCAGGCTGGTCTCGAACTTGCACCGAGACAGGGATGGATTTAAAGGAGAAAAGCAAAATTATAAGTAGAAGTAAATAGAATGGTGGTTGCGGGAGGGGCAGGGATTGAGGGGCGACAGAGCTCCAGTTTGGGAAGAGGAAGAGGTCCTAGGGATGAACGGTGGCGAAGGGTGTGAGCAGTATAAATGTACTGGACCACACCGGGGTGCGTAGGACCGCAAAAGTTACGTGTATTTTAAAGCAATAACAAAGCGTATTGGGAAGCATCTGTCTTATGTGGGGCCTTCTAACAAAGGCGGGGACTCTCCCCTAGCCAGTGTGGGAAAACTGCTTCTGCCTTCCAGAGGGCCCAAGACAATTAGGCGTTTCAGGGCCCCAAATGTCCCCGCCCCAGGCTCCGCCTCCCCGCCCGTGCCTGGGGACAGCGGAGGACTGCTAGGTGTGCCGGTTCCTCTCCTTTGCTGTGCCATCCTCTAATCAAACCCTGCGCTTGACTTCCAGCACAGCGTCCCCTTCAGCTGTGGGAGATCAGAGCGGCTTTAAATGGTGCCAAGGAGGCCCTGCGGGTTCCCAGGCTGGCCTGAATCCACGGCCTCTCATTTTCTCCTTGCAAAGCTTCCTTGCAGGTTACAGAAGCCAACCAGGTGCACACCCCACATCATTACCATCAATCCCGACCTTTCAAGTTCTGGCACTATTGCATAACCCGGCGCCTCCCTCCTCCTCGCCCTCCCTTCTGCACCGCGGAGAAAGCCACCGCAGGCAGAGTTCTCACCGCCCCACTTACTGCTGGCCGTGCAGCCCTTGCAGCCTTCGACCCACAGGGAGTGGTTTCACCCCCCAGGGCTGCCGGGAGGGCCTTCCGACCCCTGTCTTGACCTGGACTACTCCAGGAAGCAGAGCCTGAGATCAGACCTTCTGTGCAAATAACCCACCTGGGAGGCAGCCCCAGCGATGGACAGAGAGACCGCAGGAAAAGCCAGAGCAAGGTGGGCTGCTGAGTTGGCCCCTGCGGTGAGCAGCTGGGCCTCGATCACACTGGAACTTTCTGAAGCAAGAAAGAGGCTCCCTTGGAGTCATCCCCTCCTGGTCGTCAGCAGTGAGAGGCTTTTCCTCACTGCTTCCCAGCTGACCTGATGTGACCCATGATTAAGACTCAGGATGATGCACTTTCTTTTTTTTGAGACAGAGTCTCACGATGCAGTTCAGGCTGGACTCGAGCTCCCTTTGTAGCCCAGGCTGGTCTGGAACTCACAACGATCCTCCTGCCTCAGCCTCCCGAGTGCTGGGATTACAGGCGTGCGCCACCATGCCCGGCTCAGGATGGATGCATTTTTGAGAGGAGTATTGCAAAAGATGCCTTGCTGATCTTATTGATCCTATCAGACAGTGTGATTTCAGCTTCCCCCTCACCTGCTCATTCTTCTGCTCATTTGGTTAAACTTGTATCTGGTGGGTTTCCCCAGTGTGATTGATATTTTGTGGGGAGGTACTCTGAGGTTATGTGAATATACTTCATCAGCTGGAGTCTGATGTTTATCCTTTTTTTTGTTTTTTTTCCAGTACCGGGAATCAAACTCACGACCTTGCGCTTGCCAGGCAGGCACTGTGCCACTGAGCTATATCCCTAGCCCCTGTTTATCCTTTATATCTTTATAGAGTCATGGATTCCTATTTTATTTATTTATTTATTTATTTATTTATTTTTGTCTTTTTGAGACAGGGTCTCACTATACAGTTCAGGCTGGCCTTGAGCTCAGGTTGGTCTCGAATTTGCAAGGATCCTCCTGCCTCAGCCTCCCTAGCGCTGGGAATACAGGCATGTGCCACCACACCCGGCTCCTATTTTATTTAATAAATTACAATCTGGAGTATTGTGATTTCTTTTTTTTTTTGCTATCGTGATTTCTTATGATGCTCATATTGCCTTCGATAGATAAGTAGGGTCCCCTCCACGCTGGCTTCTGTGTTTTCACTTTTTCCCAAAGTTCTTTGAACATTTCTTTAGCTTCTGCCACACTACGTTCCTGGTTCGTCCT